GGGAGAGGAGTGGGGGCTGGTGGTTAGAGCAACGGGTTCTGGGAGCCAGGACGCCTGGGTTCTATCCTGGCTCTGGGAGGGGAGTGGGGGCTGGTGGTTAGAGCAGCGGGGTCTGGGAGCCAGGACGCCTGGGTTCTATCCTAGCTCTGGGAGGGGAGTGGGGGCTGGTGGTTAAAGCAGGGGGGCTGGGAGCCAGGACGCCTGGGTTCTATCCTGGCTCTGGGAGGGCAGGGGGGTCTGGTGGGTTAGAGCAGGGGGAAGGGCTGGGAACCCTGGACCCCTGGGTTCTCTCCCCCCGCTCTGTATCTCCTTGATCCCCCCCTCCATCCAGGCTGGGAATCCGTGTGGTCCCTGCCCCATTGCTCCCAGAGTTGCCATCTGTTTTTTGTTGTACTGAGGGGCACAGCTGACCTGTGGGGTGCCCCACACTCCGTAAGGAGGTGGCCTGGTCTGAGCTGAGCCCTGACGCTGCCGTGAGACAGGACTTTCCAGCCGGCCCCGTCCAGCCCCACACCTGGATCTCACCCCCACACACACACACCGGGGCACGTTCCTGGCTCCCCTGCATATCAGCCAGCGGGGAGCTGAGGTCACCCCGTGGGTCGCTCGGACCTGCCAACGGGAACTGCAGCATCTGCCCAGCTCCTTAAACAGCCGGGGGGGGGGGCGGGGGGCTCCTTAGGCAGGCAAAGCCCCCCTCCCCCGGCCCCCACAGCTTTTCCTGGGGGACAAACCTCCCTGGTTTGTGCCCCAGTCCAGGGCTGCTGTGTCCCCGCCCCACAGGGAGCGGCTGAGCGGCACTACCGTGGGGCACACAGCCCGGGCTGGCGGGTGTATGGCTACGGCTCAGGAGCGCTGGGTTCGGTTCCTGCCTGGGCCATCACTGAATCTGTCTGGCTGTCAGAAACTCAGTGGGAAGGGGGTGCCTAAGCCCCTTGGGCTCCTCTGACAATCCCGGCCTGTGGGCCTCAGGCCCCCCTCTGTAAAATGGGATAATCCTTCCTTCGCCTGTAACCCCAGTTACACTCAGGGCAGCTCCCCCTCCCAGCATTGGGCTCAGGCTCTCTGCAGAGCCAGGCAGCGTCACTGCATCGGTCACCCACGGGGCAGCTGCCCCTTCCAAGAGCAATTGGCTCAGGCTCTCTGCACACTCAGGCATCGTTGGTCACACTCAGGGCAGCTCCTCCCTCCTGGAGCGATGGATTCAGGCTCTCTGCAGACTCAGGCAGCGTCGCTGAGTCAGTCACAGTCAGGGCAGCTCTCCCGCCCCCAGCAATGGGATCAGGCTCTCTGCATATTCAGGCAGCGTCACTGCATCAGTGACGGGCAGATTGCTGTGGCCGGGGAAGCATCGCAAACCCAGCTGGCTCTGTAAACAGGGGGCTGCTCTGGCCTCTGCCCATCTGGCGCCGCCTCCCCCCAGAGGGGCTGGGTGCACAGTCAGCACTGGGGGTCCCAGCACGGGGGGAGCTTTGCCCCCAGTGCACAGGGGGGAAAGGGAGCTGACTCGATGGTCACACACTGACTCAGCAGTAAACCTGGGGACAGAACCCAGGAGTCCGGACTCCCAGCCTTCCCCCGCCCCACTCTGACCCACTAGACCCCACTCTGCAGCTGCTGACACAAATCATATGGTCACAAACCTCCCCTCCCCCCACGGCGCTGTTCCTGCCTCAGTCGCTGCTTTCAGGCCGAGCTGCCGCCTGCCTGGCATCTCCCGGCCATCCCGCCGTCCCCGGGGTGGGGGTCTCTGGCCGGACTCCCAGGGAGACGGGGGCACTGGTGTCTCTGATCCCGCTCAGCCTCGCACGGGCCTGGTTCACGCACCGTCGCCTGCTGCTGGCCTGGGCAGAGCGGTGGGAAATGCTGTCTGGGGGGTGCCGATGCCCAGGCTGCAGAGGTACCACGGGCAGTACAAGGTGCCGGGCGGGGGGGGGAACCAGGCTGATGGGGATAGGGAGCCATTGGCCTGGGTCACCCTGGTACCCCTCGCCCGCAGCGCCTGCCCCGGGGGGGAAATGCCCCAGCGGCACCTCCGTGCGAAGCAGGAACATTCTCCCTTGGACGGTCAGACTCAGCTGCTGGATGGGACCTGCCGTCTGGGCTCAGACCCGGCTCCCCTCAGCCCAGCCCAGCCCAGCCACGCCCGGCGCCCTGGAGGCTTTCGGTTCTACGGCGCCTCCCCCACAAGGCTACAGGAGCCTTTCTGCAAATGGAACAGGATGGTCTGTGGCGAAGCTACAGGCCTGGGGCCCAGGACTCCTGGGTTCACTGCCTGGCTCTGCCACAGACTCTGTGTGCGACCTTGGGCAGGTCACTGAACCTCTCAGTGCCTCAGTTTCCCCATCTGTACATACAGCACACAGCTCAATGCGGGGTCCGTGCAGCACCTGGCGCGACGGGGCCCTGATCTTGGTTGGAGTCTGTGCAGGCCGCCCAGCACTACAGGGTGTGACGGTGCTGCCCGTGGGAGCTGGCTGAGGTCAGTCAATTAGGGTGAACTGCAAACCAAACGGGGCAGACAAACCCCAAACGCTGGTGGTTATTCCAATACTGAGATTTACCAACCAGCCCAAAACAGCCTCTACAATACCTCCCTGGTTACTCAGACGTCCAAACAACGCAGTTCCCTTAAAGTGCCCAGCCTCAGGCCTCCGTCCAGACACACGTCAGATATGATGATGATTACTGAAAATCTTATCTCATCATATAAAAGAAAAGGTTCTTCCAATCCCAAAGGATCAGTCACACACCCAGGTCCAATTATAACTTAGATCTTACCCAAAATACACGCTATAGCCAATTCTTATTAACTAAGCTAAAATTTATTAAAAAAGAAAAGAGAGAGAGAGTTGGTTAAAAGATCAATATACAGACAGACTTGAATTCAATTCTTGAGGTTCAGACACAGCAGAGATGAGCTTGTAGTTGCCAAAAGTCCTTTTAGAAATAGTCCCGAGGTTATAGTCCAATGTCCATGTTCAGGGTGACTCCAGTCAGTGGGATCTCAATCCTTGTGGCTTAAGGTTTCCCCCTCTTGAAACCCAAAGCAGATCTGAGATGAAGCAGGATCGTGTCCCAGGGTTCTTATACATTTCCAGCAGCCTTTCGGCCTGAGAAAACAATAGGCTTAATTCTCCTTCTCCCAAACATCCTGGCAATGAGCACAGGGTAATTTATCCATTAAACAGTTCAGATACAGGTTACCACAACCTTCAAGGAGATCTAGAGACAATAATACTATTTCCCTCAAGTGTCTTCCTAAATACTAATACTCCTTTTTGATCTTTGAATCAAAGCTATAG